CACTGTTCTTTCTGAAGTGATGAAAACGTTCTGGAATAATAATGGTTGCACCACTGCGAATATACTAAATGCCGCTGAATTGTTCCATTTAAATGGGTGGACTTCACAGTGTGTGAACAATATCGCAATAAAGCTGTTCTATGAAAAAAATATTTCTGGACCACTATTTTTGCCTCTATATTACTAGTCTTCCCTACAATTTAAGAAAAACAAAACAACAAAACCAAACAAAACTTTGCCAGGAGACCTTTAGGACTGCAATGTTCCTGGGTCTCCAAAATGCCTCTGATGGTGCTGCTCCTGTTAACACACACTAGTTGGGCTGGACTAGTTAAGGACTATATCTTTTTAAAATCGACGGTCACATGTTTCACCCTGGGAGAGGGGAGGATGGAGAATGTCACAGCCTCGTGCCCTCATCTCTTTTTTGTTTGTTTGTTTTTGTTTTTGGAGTAGAGAAAGTTTTTACTGCAGGGCCAAACAAGGAGAACAGTGGCTCATGCTCAAAAACCCTGAACTCTGATGGTTTTTCAGGTGAATTTTTTTTTTAGGGTAAAGTTTTTAAATACGCAAAATGAGGCTTGAGGGCTTCCAGGTGTGTGACATTCTTCTGACTAGGTGGTGGTAGGCAATAGGGCCGTGTTCCAGGGATCTCGTGCTCAGACTGCAGTTACCATCCTCCACCTGGGTGGGGGCCTTAGCTCCTGCAGAACAACTCAAACATATAAAGTATAGCCCTGCCCCTACTCCTTAAGCTCATTTTTAAGTGAACCAAGCCCTGCTTTCAACAGTGATCACGCTCACTATAAAAACACGTTACATCAATAAGCACCACCATCCTAACACCAGAAAAAGTATTAAGGATATTTACCTGGGGCAGAAACACTGAGGGAGGAGAAAGAAGCATGCTCAGCATTGGCGCTCTCTTTTCCCAAGTCCCTGCCAGGAGAAGCTGGGTTTTACAGCCAGAGGATCTCAGCCCCAGGGAACAGCGTCCATGCCACTGAGCTGGACCTCGGGTACAGGGAAAGGGAGAGGACTGCAGTCTAGGGGTGGCAGGGCAGGGAAAGCGGCGGGGGGCCCTGGCTGCAGCCCCGCTCGGAGGCCAGTCCCAGCCACTGTCCCCACCCCCGCCCGGCTCCGCAGACCCCGCCGCCCCGGGACACAGGCCGCCCATGGCCGGGGCGGGGTCTGCTGCCGAGGAGAGGAAGCCCGG